AATACAACTTAACATTGCTTTCCTTTTAATTTACTTCACCATTGGACTTCTCACTCACGTACTCATTCATTCATTCATTCATTCATTCATTATTTGTACAGTGTTCTGCCTGCACATCAGAAGAGGGCACCAGATCCCATTACAGATGATTGTGAGCCACCATGTGGCTGCTGGAAGTTGAACTCAGGACCTCTGGAAGAGCAGCCAGTGCTCTTAACCTCTGAGCCTTCACTTTAGCCCTGGATTCCTTCTGAAAATTGTTCTTTGGTGTGCTACCAAAACCCTGCTCAAAAAACCAAAGCAAACCAAACAAAACCAAAAACCAACCAACCAACCAACCAACTAACCAGGTCTTACCATGTAGTCCTGGCTGGCTTGTTAAGTCACTAGAGAGACCAGGTTAGCTCAAACTCAAGAGCTCCTTCTGCCTTTGACACCTGAATGCTGGGATTAAGGGTGTTTCGGTGTTTCCACTGTCTCAAGTGTTAGTGGTTTAGATAATTACTAACATCCTTGCTCTCACGACTCTCATGATTAAGAAGCTTTGCTCTATCTTATCCTGGGTTAGCGTTAGGATCAGCTACAGCAATCTTCTGTGGCTACACAGTTAGATTTCACAGTACTACAGGAAGACCCTCCATTCTCCAAGCTGAAGCCTTCTCCTGTATCCCTGAGATCAGACAGGCAGAGATTTTCCTCTCGATAGGCATGGTCTGTGTCCCTTCCTGCTCAGCAGCAAAGAAGTTACAGAGAATGGCTTCTTGCAGGGAGTGGTGACATGCCTGAGTTCAAGGGTAACATGACCTACACAGGGCATTCCAGGACAGCCAGAGCTACATACTAAGATCCTGTCTCTACAAAACAAAAAAGCAAAAACCAAACCAAATCAAACCTAGTTTAACTCTCCAGATCAAAGGCTTTTGCCTTATTAGCTGTTATCCTACCTAAGGCACACTAGGAACTACTCTATGATCATTTAGGTTCTTTGAAACACTGACTCATGTCAGCTCCTAAGCCACACACATGAAGTTATGTAAAGTCACTTAATTAAGCATGACAATCTCTTCAGAATCCCGCACCCAAACCTGGCGTATACAACATTTTTTTCTAAGTTACTTTCTCTATTAACCTGATATTTAGAACTATGTTCAAATCTTTTAATAAACTCCAATACTGTTTCATTAAAAAAGTAAGTTTCAGCTGGGCGGTGGGGCACTCCTTTAACCCCAGCAATTGGGAGGCAGAGGCAGGCAGATCTCTGTGAGTTTGAGGCCAGCCTGGTCTACAGAGTGAGTTCCAGGACAGCCAGGGCTATTTACACAGAGAAACCCCATCTTTAAAAGCAAACAGTTTTATTGTTACAAATCTGAAGGCAAAAAATGTGTAAGGCCTACAGAAGAATGCTGTGTCAGCATCTCAGGAATTGCCTAACTCCACCCACGACAGGCTCCAAAATATAAACTCATTGGAAAGGTTTTGCTTTTAGAATGAAAGTTCGCTTTACCCTCAGGCATCCACACATTTTTTGGCTCTCATAATCATAGCCCCACTAGTCACTGTGGTGGAGAGTCTAATAAAGAACGTAGAAGCCTGCCCTGCCTCCCTGCTTCATGGCCAAGAAATTCAACCATCCTCTCCACTACACCTTCCCGTCATAATGTACTGCTCCATTATAAGCAGAGAAACCAGGCTCAGCACCTCAAACACCACTTCACTAGGAACACCACTTAGAATGAAGCCATGGCTCCGCGGCAGCAAACTCCAGACCTTTCTCTTACACCATCCTCTACCTACTGGAACGCCCGAAGTAACTCCATTTTGTCCTAGTTCAGCTAACTCATCTCTGGCTCCACCCCCTGCCCCTAGGGCCCCGTTGAGCAGCGGTCTCAGGAGGCTGAACCTGCAATTTAGGGAGGCCCACGGTTGCACAACAAGCAGCAACTGCTTTCATCAACAACTGACCCTTTGGAAACTTGTGTTCAAACCCTCACCTGCCCCTGTGACACAGTTGCTGTTTCTGGCTTTATGAGCTCTGCCTTGCCTTTCCTACAGTTCAAGCCCTTCCTGGCACCAGCCTGCCCTCTACCCCCAGCAAATAAGACTCCTAACCTGTCCTTCATTGAGTGGCATTCGGGGCACTTCAGGAGATATCCCAGGACTCCATGACTGTCACACTGAGGCCAGAGTCCTGGAAAGTCTGCTGTATTTCCCAACACCAAAACTGAGCGGTTCCTTCTGGTTCTCCTAGGACGCAGGTTTTACTATTTTTGTCTGGCCACTGGAGGACCTGCGTGTGTGTATAAGAGAGGATCAGTCCTCCCTTTCTTTACCTGAGCTCAGACCCCAAGTGTCCCGGCAGCCTTGCCAACTGGTGAGTTCAGGTCCCCGTCTCAGAGTGACCAGGGGTGGGCTGGAGTGTTCTTTTCCTGCGCTGCTGGGGTGAGAGACTTTTGACAGGACCCATGTTGTCCTTCCTACTGAATTACAAGCTGCCTCCGATAACTGAGACAGGTCGTTCTTTCTCTTCTTGGACCACTGTGTCTGTGCGCGTGGTCTGCCTTTGTTCCTGTCCCACCAAGCCCTCTTGCTTTTGCTTACCAAACAAACAAACAAACAAACAAACAAACCCTACTTCAGACCCAAGCATGATGGTCTCTCCCAATCCCGTCCTAGGTCAGGCAGGCTCCTGCCTTGTGACAGGGAGAACAACAGAACAGCCCAGGAAGGCACTGTGCATTGAGAACAAATAAGAGGTAAACTATTTCCAACAGAGACTACTATTACTTATCTTATGGTATAAAGAGATTTAAAATTAAAGTAACTAATAAGATGCTCATACATGAAAAGGATAAAAGGGATTCTGTCTGAAATCTCTCAATAAGTACAACATCATAGCCAGCCAAACTCTGTTCAATGCTGTAAACATCAATTTAATGCTAGTTATAACAACCACATATTATATACATCACAAATACTGTCTTATGCTTTTATGCTTTTTGTAAGTTTTACCCAGAAACTTAAAAGGCCTAATTTTTTTTTTTTTTTTTTTTTGTGAGACAGGCTGTTCTGGAACTTGCTCTTGTAGATCAGGCTGATCTCAAACTCACAGAAATCCTCCTGTCTCTGCCTCCCGAGTGCTGGGCTTAAAGGCATGAACCGCTGCTACCACCGCCACCACCCGGCCCAAGACCTAACGGTTTAGCAGTATGTTCACAGGTAATATTAAGCAGACCCAACTGCCACCTTTATGACGCCAGCTATGCCTGCTAATGTCAATATCCTTTCAGGAAAGCAGGCAAGGATAGGCAAGACCATTGGCCTCTAACCTGGGCACCTAGGTGCCCAGCTAGCTGAATCTCAACATTTGCTGCAGAAGCTAGTATGCACGGGTTAGAAAATCTAGGAATGGGCGGAGGTCAGGCAGTGTAGTGTGTCCACCCACGTAGCCAAGGGATGATCACACCGGGTAAGGCAATGAATGATACATTGTCTCCTAATGCCATTTGCTATATTCATAGTTCAGAGCCTTGCTCAACCATCACCACAGAAACCTCCGCTTGAAGCAGATAAGAACAAATACAGAGACCCACAGCCACACAGTACGCGGAGTGAGAGACCTTGAAATAGCCCTAAACAGGAAGTCTCCATCAAATCCCGCCTGTCAGGGCTCAGGGAACTCAGGGGAAGAGGAAGCAGGAAGAGCAGGAGCCAATGGGGATGCAGGACACCAAGGAGCAGTGCCTTCTAGACACAGCAGGGCTGATGCCCATGGGAACTCACTCTACAGAGGGGGAAACTGAGGCCGGAGGGGGTCCCAGAGCTGAGGCCAGTGAACACAAGCCCCATTCCTAACCCAGAAGCTATTTCCACTTGCAAAGAATTTTTTTCTCCAACGTAGTCTCACTGGCATATAAACCACTCTCAAGGATAAGGTCCCATTCCCAGCATGGATGGCCAACACAACACTAACTCAATGGTAAGTTTGGATCTGTCTGTCTGTCTGTCTGTCTGTCTGTCTGTCTGTCTGTCTCATCTTTTAATCCCTCCAGGTCTTTTGCTTATACATTGTGCATTGTGGTTTCTCGTCTTGTCTTTTTTGGGATTTCTGTGTTTGCTAATGTGTGTCTCTGCATCTATGTTTCTTTTGCTTTTTCTTTGGCTCTTTTCTCTCGTTTGTTTTTTAATCTTATTTTATTATTATTTTCTTGTCTTTTTTAGTTGCCCATTTGTTTTCAAGACAGAACAAGAAAGGGTGTGGATCTGGGAGGAGTTTGGGGAGGGGAAACCATAACCAGAATACAGATGTTTTTTCAAATAAAAAAGTGGGACTGACTTATTTTAGGTAGGATGAACTATATCAAGAAAAACAAAAACAAGTCATTAAAGCTTGCAGTCAAGTCCCAGCGAGTCTGACTACACAGGGCTATGCAGGGTAAGACTTAAAGACAACATATCCCATTTTTCTAACCGCCTACTCACACTAACTGACTTAAAGATGCCTATCTATCTAGTCATTCATGTCCCTGATAACCTTGTTAAGCTTTAGCTACTTGGAGTCATAACAAGAACTGCATGTAGTAAGAATTAATTGTATGCCATTTTGGTTTATGTATGTGTCTCCTTATAAAAAACTAAGTTCACTCTTCTGCAATTACATTCTTTGTGATAAAATGAGCTACCTGATGTAAAAACAATCTGTCAGTCAGGCAGCAGTGGCACACGCCTTTAATCCCAGAACTCTGTGAGTTCGAGGCCAGCCTTGTCTACAGAATGAGTGAGTTCCAAGACAACAACAACAACAAAAAAAAAAAATCTGTCAAACTAATTTCAACTTTGTAAAAGTACACTATACAAGGACCAGGAGAGTGAGGTTCCCAACTTCTTGATGAATTATATTTACATTTTAAAATTTAGTTTGGGGGCTGGAGAGATGGCTGTTCTTCCAGAGGACCGGGTTTAATTTCCAGCACCCACATGGCGGGTCACAGTTTTCTGTGTAACTGCAGCTCCAGGGGACCCAATCCCCTTACACAGACATATACACAGGCAAACCACCAAGGCACATAAATAAAATAAATCATTAAAAAAATAAAAGTTTACTTTGGTACCAGTTACTGAAAGTTTCAATTCAGCATAAGGCTCAAAATTTTAACAGGGATAAATTACCCTAGTTTACAAAAACCTAATCTTGTGAGATTTACTAATTTATCATAAACTGTTGGAAAAAAAAAAAGGAATGAAGGCATCCTTTATATATATTGTTGAAGTTTAGCCTAAAGCAGGCAACTCAAAACAAGTTTAAGAGTAAACCTGAAGTTTGCTAAATATAATATTCAAAATCAGGTATATTAAAAATGGTTATGGAGAGTTCAATGCTTGAGTAGAATGGGTTAAATTTACAATCCCCTGCATGGCAGGGCATCTGTAGGCTCAAGTGGCGCTGCTTCCCTTGGATGGGACCCTGTCTCCATCAGAATAAACTGCACGCTAGCCTTACTGAATGAAGACTGGGAAGTAAGACTTGCCAGAGTATGTTTATAAGTTGTAGGCCAGCCCAGGAAAGGCTCCTTATCCACAAAGGGGATGAACTACTATGGTCTCACACGGCAGTGACGGAGTCTCTAGACCAGTGCAGGGCCCTGAGAGTCTGCCCGCACATCCCTAACGTATCAAGCAAAAAGGAGGCAAGCAGCAATCACCTTGCACTGCTGTCTCTGAACCGCCACTAGAGGGGGCTGTGGACAGGGGAGCCTTGTACCTGAGCTGCCACCTGACTAGGGGACCCGTACTCTAGTTCAACTGGCTTTCCATTCTCTTCTTAGCAAGACTAACGCCAGGGCCAAGAAGTCAACACGTGACTGTGTAAGGAGGCCCCAGAGGAGTTTTAAGGAATCTAAGAAAGGCTCTGCTACAGGGCGTCAGCAGTACGGATATTCATTTAAACACGAAGTTGCAGGTGTCATCCCGTGGGCCCACCACACCCAGGTTCTGCCTGAGGAGTAAGAACCTGGGGTATAAAGGTGTCCCGTCACCTCCCTCCCCCCTGGCAATCTCTCAGGGTCATGATGGGCAACCAGCTTTTCAGGCTGCCGCCGCCGCACTGGCCACTCTTCCAGAGGACCTGGAACTCAATTCCCAGCACCCACATGGCAGCTCACAACTGTTCCAGAGGATCTGATGCCCCCTCTTGGCCTCTGAGGGCACCAGGTAAGCACACGGAGCAAAGACACACACACAGAGACACACACATACACACAGACACAGACAGACACACACACACACACACATACAGAGACACAGACACACACAGACACAGACAGACACAGACACACACACATACACAGACACACACACACACACACATACAGAGACACAGACACACACAGACACAGACAGACACAGACACACACACATACACAGACACACACACATACAGAGACACAGACACACACACGCACACACATACAGAGACACAGACACACACAGACACACACACACATACAGAGACACAGACACACACACACACACACACAGACACACAGACACAGACACACACACACACACACACACACAAAATGTCCATACTCTAAAGATGGAGGAGACACAAAGTGATAGACTCTCACAAACTGAAAATTGAGTTCACAGGAAGAGGAACGGGATAGCAAACAATTTTAAGGTTTTACTAATCGTGTTTTTTTGTGAAGAGAGTATTTTGAAAATCTCAAGTCTCATCACATCATGAAACAACCAAACCGTGTAGGGAATATATTATAAATTAACAGTATTTAGGTAGGATCACTTCAAAATCATTTTAAATAATATTTTCTCAATTATCACAAGGAAGCTACATTGAAACACATTGGGATATTTATTCTATGATTATAGCTCAGAATTAAAATTGCAAAAGAGCAGCCGGGCTGGGTGGTGCACACCTTTAGTCCCAGTACTCGGAAGGCAGAGGCAGGCGGATCTCTGTGAGTTCCAGGCCAGCCTGGTCTACAGAGTGAGTTCCAGACCAGTCAGAGCTATAACACAGAGAAACCTTGTCTCAAAAAGCCAAAAACAAAAACCGAAAAACCAAAAATAAATAAAAAAAAATTTACCAAAGAGCAGCAAAATGCCTTTAATTTTCAAGGGGTCTGTGAGCTGGATGAATGAGGAAAGCCGAATCTGACGACCCAGCTTGGTCCCTGGCTCCACATGGTGAAGAGAACTGATGCCCACAAGCTGTCCTGATGTTTACGACTGCTATAGGACACGTGTGCCACACACATGCATGTGAAAGTAAGTCACAGAAAGACTATCTTTTCAAAAGTAGTCTTTCTTTCCTAGAAATGAAGGAAAGACAGGCTGGCAGGCCACACTGGAAAGTTCCAGAATGGCCTTGGCACCTGGGATGGGCTTCCTGACTGACAGTCACAGTGAGAACCAGGAAGGGACTGCTAACAGTGGTCTGTGAATGAACTTACTGGAAACAGGCCTCGTGATGTCCATGGGTTCTGCTTCTTCTTTGACTTTGACCTCGGAAACAGGAGGCCCCAGAACTGCGGAAAGGCTGCCAGCCACAGGTGTTGATGTCGTGGGTGCAGCGGCAATGGTGGTGATGGGTGGAGTGACGGGGACGGCTCCAGGAATGCTAGAAAGAGCGATGGCTGGCTGGGATGGAGGGCTGGCTGCGGCAATCATGCTTGGAATGGCTGGTGGAGGCTGCTGGGAAGTTGGAGGGACTGCAATGGTAGGCTGCTCGGCAGTCTGGTTGGATATGGTCTCCAAGGACACAGTGACTGGAGTGGCCATGGACACATGTACTTCGGATTTAGGTTTGGCACTGAAACACAAAAGAGAGCATTGTGTAGCAATTGAGACAAAACTGTCTTTCCTTGAAACACCTCGAAGGAGGGTGTTACTTCTTGTAATACAGCACACACAACTGATACTCTACTGTTCATCTTTACGTTAACTTAGAAAGAATAGAGATCTTCACCTGTGGTATCGGGAATTGAATCTAGGGCTGTAAGCAGGCTAAGTATGTGTTTTAGCTCAGAATTCTCCAGCTCAGAATTCAGGGTTTGTTTGTTTTTCAAGACAGGGTTTTTCGGTGTAGCCCTGGCACTCACTCCGTAGACCAGGCTGGTGTCAAACTCAGAGATCCCCCTGCCTCTGCCTCCAGAATGCTGGGATTAGAGGCGTGCCCCAGTTCCACCTGTTCAGAATTCACGTTTTTGAAATAGCTTATGTTATAAGGCTGGGAATACAGATGCCAGATATGTTGAAGGCCCTAGGTTCAATCAATCCCCAACACCAGAAAAACAAGCAGAAACAAGCAACATTTTCCATTCTGTTAAGCTTTTATACAAAGTAATTCAATACTTAGAAACAATGAACATTCAAAAAGAAATCACTTGGAATCACATCCTGTGCAAGGACTATGAGATTTTAAAATGGACGCTGCTGTTGCACGGTTTTTTTTCTTCTTTGAGACAGGATCTCGATTATGTATTTCTACCTGGCCTTAAACTTAAGAGATGTTCCTGTCTCTGCTTCCCAAGTACTGGGATTAAAGGTGTGTGCCACCAACGCCTGACTATGTACTGACTGTTAAAAATGATTTATTTATATGTGTGTGTTTGTGTGTGTGTATGTATGTATGCATGTGTGTGTGTGTGTGCCCATGTCCCCTAAGTCTGTGCACATGTATGCAAGTACCTGCAGAGGCCAGAAGAGGGCACTGAACCCCTCACAGATGGCATTATGGGTAGCTGTGAGTCACCTAACCTGGGTGCTGGGAATTGAACTTGGGTAGTCTCCAAGAGCAGCAAGTGCTTTTGACCAAGCTCTCATATGAATTTTCTTATATGCCAATTTTTTTAAAGAAGAAATTCTGCAAATGGCGAAGTTCCAAAAGACATAAAAGACAAGAGACCTCGAGGTCCTAGGATCATCCAAAAGTTATAAAAGACAAGAGAACTTGAGGCCCTAGGATCAATCATTAGTTGCAGATAAACTCCAAAGTGTGTATCCTGCTGGCCACTGTTGTACCGGTTTGTAATCAAAGCACTACTGAGGCTTAGGTAGGAAAACTGTGAGTTCAAGGTTAGCCTGGGCTACACAGCGAGATGGTACTTTATCATGAGGAAAAAACAAGGAGGCGCGGAGATGACTCAGGTATACAGCGCTGACTGTTCAAGTGTGAGATCTGAATTCAGATCTCAGCTCAGATGCAGCTGGCTGCAGGAACCTGTCACCTCAGTGCTCCTACGGCGAGATGGGAGGTAGAGATAGGAGAACCTGGAGCCTCCTGAGTCCCCTGACATGGCATACATGGGGACAAGGACGAAATCCTGTGTCAAACACAGTAGAAGTCAAAGACAGGCTGCCTCTAACATTCATGTACGCGTGCCTTCATACACATAACTATGTATGTATACATACACACATGTATATCCTAACCTCTCAATTTTATAACAATTTAACCGCAGAGCGATTTCTTTAAAATTGTACATGTATGGGTGTTCTGCCTGCATGTCTGTCTGTGTTCCATGCACATGCTTGGTGCCCCTGGAACTGGAGGTTCAGACAGTTGTGACCTACAATGTGGGTGCTGGGATGTTTGGGACTATAGGTTCACTCCTAATCCAGTCACAAAACAAAGGGAAAAACAACAACAAAAAACAGCTATACAACAGAGCCGGGTGGTGGCAGCGCACACCTTTAAGCCCAGCACTCAGGAGGCAGAGACAGGTGGATCTCTGTGAGTTCCAAACCAGTCTGGTCTACAAGAGGGAGTTTCAGGACAGCCTCCAAAGCCACAAAGAAACCCTGTCTTGGAAAACCAAAAACAAACAAACAAAAAAGCCCCCCAAACCCAACAACAACAAAAACCTGATATCCATATTACTTTTAAAAAACTATGTACTCTAGACAATGAAAAAAATGTGGTAAAAATAGGGAAAAAGGCTGGGCGTTGGTGGTGCACGCCTTTAATCCCAGCACTCGGGAGGCAGAGGCAGGCGGATCTCTATAAGTTCGAGGCCAGGCTGGACTGACAGCCTCCAAAACAATACAGAGAAACCCTGTCTCGTAAAAACCAAAAAAAAAAAAAAAAAAAAAAAAAAAAAAGGGGGAAAAGTCTGGAGAGATAGCTTAGTTAGACCACTCTTAACTCTTAAAGAGTTGCTCTTAAAGAGGATCTGGGTTCTGTTCTCAGCACCCACAAGATAGCTCATAACTGTCTATAATTACAGTTCTAGGGGATGTGACCCTCCTCTTTTGGCCTCCAAATGTACAAGGCACATATATGATATACATGCATACATGAAGACAAACATACACATAAACCATAAGAAAACAAATATATTTCATGTAAAACTAATATCTGGTTTGGTGTGTAGTTCACAGCAGAGCAACTGCTACCATTAAAAGGTGTGGGACTCAGTTTGTAACACAGGAAACACACACACACTCACGCAGGCGCACAAACACACACACACACACGCACACGCACGCACGCACACGCACACACACACGCGCGCGCGCGCACGCGCGCACACGTCTTGTTTTGAGACCAAGTGTTACCAGTGTGACTTGTGGCCTAGAACTCACTATGTAGATCAGGTGGGCCTCAAACTCACAACAGAGACCCGCCTCTTCCTAAGTGCTGGCTAACGAGGAGCGGCACCACGCCTGCTTGGAAGACTTTCTCTACCGTCACAGGCTTTTACGTCTACCATCCTCCTTTGGTGGCCTCCTTTCACCCTTGCTCTCTTACAACAAAAAGCACAGTAGCCAAAATGCCGGATTTGCTCATTATTCCTCTTGTGTATGGTGCTGGGGGATTACACACAGGACCTCACACATGCTAGTCTAGTGCTCAGCCCCTAACTATGGTCCCAGAGTTAGCGCAACCTTTAAAACATTAGGTTTTCCTAGCTTTCATGAGGCCTTTGGCACAGTCCCCAGCATAATTTACAAAGTAGAAATAACAAAGTCAAATCATGCAGCCCCCATGCTTTAATGTACCAAGGGATTTCTATTTCACCTAGAAAAAAAGATCAAAGGCCTTGAAATGATTTTTAAAGATTTAATTCTGTGTGTGTGCCTGTGTGAATTTAATTTGCATCAAGTGTGTGTGTGTGTTCATGGAGGCCAGAAGGCGTCCATCCGATCCTTTGGAATCGAGAGTTACAGGTGGTTGTGAGCCCCCTGATGTGGGTGCTAAGGACTGAGCTCCGAGCTACTGTCACAGCACACTCTCCTAGTCAGGTGGCCATGTCTCCAGTCCCTTGTATTTTTCTGAGATAGCATTTTACTAGACAGCTCTCGCTAGCCTAGAACCTGGGCAAGTCTCCTCAGAGATGGACTGCAGGCACGAGCTACCATGCCCAGCTCTAAAGTACAATGTGCAACTCTCCCTCTTACACCAGGCTGCTGTCTCCCTTGACGTTCCTAGGATCTGGGCAGTGTTCACCTTGCATGACATCATGCGTGCGAGCATGCGCATGAGCAAACGTGCACACGGGAGCCGGGCGTCGACTTTAGGAGAGGAGTCTCTCACAGAGCCTGGAGCCCACTGATGTGGCTCACAGCGCAAGCCCTAGGAATCTTCCTGTCTCTGTCTCCCCAGTACCACAACTCTCAGCTTCCATGTGGATATTGGGGATTGAACTCAGGTATTCATGCTTGTGTGACAAGCATTATACTGACTGACCTGTCTCCCAAACACTTGTTTTTTTTCTTTCCGAGACAGGGTTTTTTCTGTGTCGCCCTGGCTGTCCAGGAGCTTGGTCTGTAAACTGGGCTGGCCTTGAACTCACAAAAATCCACCTGCCTCTGACTCCTGAGAGCTGGGATTAAAGGTGTGTATTACCACCTGGCCCAAAACTCTCTTCAATAGCTGAAAATCACTCTGTACAGCTTCACCTTGCACGGTAGACATTTTTACACCCGCACAGAGGCCCACAGTGACAACTGTTGGTGTCCCTCTGCCGGGCCTGGTCTTTCTTCCTCCTGATACACTCAACACCAGTGAGCATATATGCATATATGTTTTCTTATTTAAAATCTCTGCTCTAAAAATCTTTCTGTAAATCACTACCCATTCGTTTTACCACTTTTATCTCCATTTTTTACACTGGTGTTTTTTGGTGGTAAAACTCTCCACATGTGAAAGAAATAAGGTTCAGGGAATGTAAAAATATCTACTTTAGTTAGTAGACTATGTCTCCACATCCTAAAATGATACTTGATACAAGACATCTATAAATTTTCTTCCTAAATGAAGTTTAAGAAACATATCTAAATACAGAATTATGCCAAGTTATTATTAAACAAAAAATATAGAATACCCAACAGTTTAACCAGATAACTTTGGTTTTAAAAGTCTATTAAACTGCTGGGCCACGGTGGTGCATACCTTTAATTCTAGCACTCAGGAGGCAGAGGCCTGTAGATCTTTGTGAGTTTGAGGCCAGCCTGATCTACAGATCCAGTTCCAGGTTAGCTGTGCAGAGAAACCCTGTCTTGAAAACCAAACAAACCTACAAAAGCTCTGTGTAAGGTAGTGGGTATGTGCACCAGTCCTTGGGAGGCGCTGGTAGGAGGACCACTTGGCCCCATGCATCGGATACAAGCCTGGGAAACATAAGACCCCAGTTCAAAGCCAACTTACCCACGTGCATAAACAGAAAGGGCATGGACGTGCGTGCTGTCCATCACCATCGCTGTGGGGAGCGGGCCTGGAGAAGCAGGTGGGGAGCAGGATTCTGACTTTATACTTTAAATACGCACACTTTTCTTTTTCAAATTGTAATTAATTTAAACCTTAGCTTTGAAAAGATTTGTCTGCTTTTCATTTGTGTGTGTGTGTGTCAGTTTCCCAGGAGCTGGAGTTATAGACGTGTGTAAGCACTTTCCCAGGAGCTGGAGTTATAGACGTGTGTAAGCACTTTCCCAGGAGCTGGAGTTATAGACGTGTGTAAGCACTTTCCCAGGAGCTGGAGTTATAGACGTGTGTAAGCAGCTGATGTGGGTGCGAAGCTGCTGAGCCAAGTTTCCAGAAGCTGTTTTCAAATCTCGATTTACTGTTATGTGGGGGAGAGGGGACCGCGCGTACACATGTGAAATCAGAGGACAACTTGCAGGACCAATCCTCTCCCTACTGTGTGGGCCATCAGGCTTGACAGGCCGTCTTTACTCACTCAGCCTCCTCACGACCCTGCCTTTTGGATTTTGGTTTTTCAAGGCAGGGTTCTCTGTAGCTTTGGAGCTTGTCCTAGAACTCGATTTATAGATCAAGTTGGGACTGAACTCACAGAGATCAGTCTGTCTCTGCTTCCCAAGTGCTGGGATTAAAGATGTGTGCCACCACTGCCCTGTGACCCTACCTTTTTATCTTTAAAGTTTTAACTTTTGGGACTAGAGAGGTAGTTCAGAAGTTAAGAGCACTGGCCGTTTTCAAGAGGACCTGAGTTCAATTCCCAGCAATGACATGGTGGCTCACAGGCATTGATGAGATCTGGTGCCCTCTCTGGCCTGTAGGGATATATGCAGGCAGAACATACATAATAAATAAATGCAGG